TCCTGTAAAAAAAGTCCTTCGAGTGCCCTCATTTTATGGAATACGACATTCCAGCCGTCATTCAGAATACGCGGAACAGATAAAACAGGATGTAACAAAAAAGCCAAATTGATGAAATCGTCGAAATTGATAAAAGCGATAAATCCCGGAAAATTATCAAACAGCTCGTCAACAACTTGACGTCAACGAAACGTCTGTAAACTGTTTCTACAGGCTTTATCCTCACACATACAAATTTCAAGCATTCGCGGCGGGACCAGCAACAGCAGCAGCCAAGGAAATACCCAGCAGTCCTCGCTCGCTCTCTGACCTTTCCCAATAGTATAATCCGAAGACAACACCGACAACACATATGATCGTACACTGTAGTTATTTTCTTCCGCTGAGGACGACCAAACAGGATTTAATAGAGAAAGACAAACAGTTGATAACGCCCCTTATCAGTGAAGTTACTGCGTCATCGGCGCACTTCCTTGTAAGCATAATTCAAAAACCACAATCGCAAAATCACAATTACAAAATAACTCGAGAAAAAAATCACAAAAATTCAGTTATCATGTTGAAACGATACCAGGAAGCGCTGGAAAGAAAAAGAAAACGAAAAAACAAATAAGCAAAAAAAAACTCGGAAAAGAACGCTGTTGATAGGTAATCGAGTGGGAAAAGCCAGGGCGCTACCGTAGCTAGGCGGGAAGGGGGGGGGGGGGGAGATCACTGAGCAGCGCACTGCAAATTACCTGAACAAGGCTTAAGCTCAATGAAGGCTATGTCTTCTCCTCAAAGGTATCCCTCGGCGACTCTTGCCGTCTGCACACTACGCCTAAGCCTCACTTAGGGGAAGGGAAACAGAGGCGCGTCCATAGGGTCTTTCAGCTTTTCCCCTATCCAAATACGTTAGCGTCGAATAGAGATAAAACGATAATGAGGAAAAGAATTGAAGATGACAAAAGAAATGACCCACTTATGAGCCGTGCATCTCCACTGAGCGAAACGATAACGGAAAAATCGATAAATCAATACTGTAAGAACACTCACTTATCAGCAAAGGATCCTCGATCGATAACAGCGCCTGTTTCTTGTCACCATCTCGACGCACCTCTTTTGGTGTGTATCGATATACCGACACAATCATAGTTGACTTCCTGAACGACATCGCCATACTATCGACTTATTGATTGATGCATTTATTGATCGGAAAAAATCAAGATTGAGAAGATAGGGATAGTATGCGAGGAAACAAACGGCAGCTTACTGCTAACTTTTTGGAACTGACGTAGTTGGGTAGGGGTGGGGCTGCATCTCCACTCTGGTAGTCTGGGTGCTCCCAATGAGGAAAAGTTCGATGAGTTTCACTAACAAGGACAAGGAGTGCACACGTGCAGAGATAGCCAGATTGATCTGGGAGGATAAAAAAGGACATCGATTGGCCAGTGCAAGCCAGCATGGGTAATGTCGCATTCAGGACGCCATCACAATTCTGATTAGAAGTAGAATGCGTGGCACACCCCGAGAAAGGATATTGATTAACGACACAAGTCTTTCCCTTCAAGTCAAGACAATTAACTCCGTAAAAGTACGCCTTATCCAGTAAAGCTCAGCTAAAATACTTTCACGAGTGACTAGCCACTATTTAATCCCATGTGCCCTTTCAGGGTATTGCAATATCCGTTTGAATACCCTCTTGGTGCACTTGTACTCTTGGCCACGAAATGTCACAGGAGAAAGTGCGAAATCGTTCTGTGATTTCACACGCGTGAGTGGGGGATGGAGTTCGAAGGGGGGGGGGGGCACCAGCTTTTCATGATAGGCTGGGTGCGAGAGGGAGGAGGTACCGGTTCTGGCAGAAGCTTCGGCGCAGAGAGACATCATTCTGCTTCAGGGCACACCATTAATTGGGATTTTGGTCGAGTCCGCGCGACCCCCCCCCCTCCCCCGCCCTGGTTCCTCCTTATCGAGCTGTCGAGCGGAGGAGTATGGGGGAGGGGTAATAGCACATGCGAAACGGGAAAAGCCGCGAGAAAAATACGACCCCCCCCTCTCTACGACCCCCCCCCACCCTCTCTACTATTTTCCTTTCTTGTTTTCCCCCAACTCCTACCAGTTTTTCCGGGATTTCCCGAGAGTTTTCCTACTTCTGTCCAAAAATTTTGCTCTCGAGTGCGGGGAATGGAAGGGGGGGGGGTAAATAGTACACATGAAACAGGAAAAATGAAAGTCAGAGAGTCAGCGAGTCAGCGACCTTCTAGATCTGTAGGAAAATACGACCCCCATCCTCTCCCAGGGACCAAATACGACCCCTCCTGTTGGGTAATCCCCAACAACGATGTGCACTGTTCTGCAACGATGCTCATTCAGGAAAGGAGCGGGATTCAGGGCCCTTCCTGCCGTTGGGGAAAACTTTTGGAAAATAATTCTCTGTTAAATTTCCCTGCTCTCTTATTACCCCCTTTGCAGATCCCCCATTCTGCCTACAATTTTCTCGAATTTTCTCAAATTCGTACCTTTTTCCTTGAGGAACTGCCTTTGAGCGGTAATATATAGCGCACGTGAAACGAAAAAAACGGGATAAAATGAACAACCGAAAACACCTTCTCAGAGCCAAAAACGAGTCTCCTCTTCAAAAAGGACCAAGTACGAGTCCCTGCTCTCTCTCGGGAATCCCCAGCGTGCCCTGATGGGGTCGTGCTCTACCTTTCACAGCTGTCGCCTTACTTTTTCAGGGAGGTGTTTTATTCGAGAGCCCCCATTCAAGCTCATCGAAAATGTCAGCAATGTAAACAAATGTCGGATTGGGATTGCTCAAAGGGAGCTATTTGGGAATTGAAGTAAATTCAAAATGCATGAGAAATAATCCGGGGATAATCGGATAAGCAGAGAAGTGGGCAGAGGCCTATGACCGTTGCGCCTTCCTACAGTCATAATCTCTGCAAATGATAGGGCTGTGACGCAGCGTGGATTTGAAGGGTTCCAAGGCAGCATTCACATCAGTGAAGTTACGTCTGCAACGATTGGCGGAAAAGCTGTCCGGCTCACGCTCCCTCACACGCCCTATCGTTTGCAGAGATCATGATTATAATTGGTCGCCCATCGTTCTGGTATGGTAAAGAGAAGATCTCGTTCTGGTAACCAAAAGATAAGAGTCAAGTAGAGAGGAGTTCCAGTAGGCCTCCACCCATCTAATTACCGAGGAATGTGTCTTTAAGGTCCACCAACAAAACGGAAAACGGAAAAAAGTGGGAGTGAGGAATTAATCAATATGTCACACCCACCTGAGCATAGACCTCAAAAAATCGCATAAGAAGCTCGCCAAGGTTGACTTCAGGACTATACACATGTTTTCGACGTACCGGCATTCCATAGTGCTGAAAACAATTCGCTATTCATTTTATCAAAATTACTGTCTTAAAAATAGATAGGACAAAGAAAAATAGGCACAGTTCGGCTTGGTGGGGACAGCGAATGGTATCAGTTAAGCTTGTATAGGCCACCTCGTGATGACCAGTTAAATTGCTGTGACCAAACCCTCATTTGCACCATTTCGCAGCTTCACAGGAACCTGCCAGTCTTCAAAGTGAGGCCTGTTATTTAACACGAACTAACAAAAGGAACTAGAGAAAACGCAAAATGTCCCCTATAAGCCGAACAGCGTTGAAACAATTTTCTCTTCTCTTTTCAATTTCCCTCTTTCGAGAGCACTTTCTAAGAGAATAGGAAGGTGTACAGCTTGGCAACAAAACAGGTTTCTGTGGAAGTAATTGGAATAAGGTAAAAACCGTCGAGGAAAATATAAGCACCGTCGAAGAAATTTGAAATTAGAATAACTTCGATGTCTAGAGACCCTTTTTCCAACGAATCAGAACATGATGGAGATAGGAGCTTTTAGGGCTACCCTTCTTTTTCGCAAAGTAAAAAAGCGGAGATAGGCAAACGAAAGCTCAAGGCGCACCTACTGCCTCCCTTCCCGTATGGTAACCTTATCCAACACTTTACCCAGTACAGTACCTTTCATGAGTAGAAGTTTAGAGAGGACGGAATCTTCCACACCGGAACCTGATGGATTGAACTTTGAAGGACGAAATCTTCCACAAGGAGCTGGACAACTGAAATGCTTACCACCAAAAAATTGGCCAAACGAAAGGCTTTGTCTGGTCTCCCATGGGCCGACGGTATCCGCTCCGCAAGAAATCGAGAAATACCTTGACGTAAATTTAGCATCGCTCAAAATGTGGTATTGACCCAATTCATCTAATTAACCCCAATATTTCGAATTTTTCACATTCCATTATTCTGGTAACAAGGAAGAAGATAGCAGATGAATGGCTCGTCAAAAATGGGGCTCCAGGTGCTGAATGGATGCTAGTGAAAAACCAAAAATGGGAAGACACCGTATGAAACGGTAAATGAGACTATTTTGCGCACTAAATATGAGTTCGAAACGAAGAAAGATGGCATTCAGAGGAGAGACCAGACGACGAAGACATGGAAGAGCGGAGAGATTAGAGAGATGAAAGACATAATGCAGGCGCGTGGGTAGAACTCCTCTGTACAAGGAAACCTTGCCAGGAGTCGCAGGTGTATCACTCCGAGACTAAAAAGTAGGCGACAAGAGCTCAAGCCGTCATTGGCGTAGCGGTTCTGCTCTCGGGTAGTGACCACACCCAGAGAAGAGCGTCATGGGCGGAAGCGCTGGTGTCATTTCGACTTTCTGTTCTTACATAGTTTGCCTCTGGTTTCTCGATTGCGTACCCAGTGTCTTTTGGTCTTTTAATCCTTCGCAT